TCTCAAGACGAAGCCTTGGGGGCAAGCGCCGGTATCCTTTCGCGTCAAGGGGCTTGGGTTGGTAAACTCAAAAAGGGGCTTTGCTTTTGGCATGCACAGGGGCTGCCCGGTTAGGGGGTTTGCAAGGGTAGATAATTCCAGAGGTTCGCGCGCGGTTCGCATGGCCCGCTGGCTTTAAATCGTGTTCTCGCGCCCGCTTTCTCCCAAAAGCTTCGTTCGACAGGCACAGGATGGTGAAGAGGAGACGGGCAGAGACCTCGAATGGTTTCGAACCAAGTTTGGGACCCCCGGATTTGCAATTCTTTTGGAGTGGGTTGCCTCAAAATGGGACACCTCCTATTCATGAACCATGGGTATTTTTTTTTATCCTGGGTTCTGGTTCCCGAGCTGTCTTGAAGTCCCTTTTGTTTGTCAGGTCTTCCTCAGAAACAATCTCGTCGTTAGACGGGAAGCCCCTGGTTGGTGAAGAGAGCGCGACGGCAACAAATGTGAAGCAGCTCTTCTTTTCAGTCCCTGCCTCAACCGCATTGAGGAGAGAATCCTCCTTCCGAGCCTTTCTAGCCTGAGTCGAAAGGGCTCGTTTTTGTTTTTCAGTCTCGGACCAAGGCCTTGAGAGGAAGCCAAAGGCCAACTGTTTCTTTTTGCGGTTAAAGGGCAACCCTCCGGCGAAGCCTCGTGTCGGCTAGGAGATTAGCCTGTCAAAGAGCTGCTCGTCGCCCAACGGCCAGCGCCCAACGGCCCAACGGCCGTCGCATGAACCATGGGTCCCGATCCTTCCGACGGGTGGCATGGGTTCAAACAAACTTAGATCACAGCCTGACTGGGCTATTTGGAAGTCAAGAACCTTAGATCCTGGAAGAACCTTAGATCCTGGAAGTCGAGGGCCAGTTGGAAGTCAAGAACCTTAGATCCTGGAAGTCGATCGAGATAGCTCAAATACGCACCGACTTCTCCAAGGGGATCGGGGCAGTTCGGGATTTGCTCAGCTCAGACTCATATGTTATTCCATGTGAACTGCGGTAGTTGTAAGCTGGCTTCAAACAGCTTCAACATGTTTTCGAAAGCCGCGGAAGCTGCGTTTTCTCTGCGCCAACCACGACGATGTCACAGTGGCTTGTCACATTCTTTGCGTGATCCTTGTTCTGACGCCGCTTGTTTGAGAAGTTCACGAATTCACAATCCAAGCGATTGGGATTGGACACTGGCGATGGACTTTCACCTTGAGCTATTTGCTTCACTTCTTCTTTGCCACGCTTAACATATGGGTGTGGCTCAAAATTAAACAGCAGGGGCAAGCCGCAGGTTTTGGTCCGTGTTTCCACTTCCCAGGGCAAGCCATTGTGGAATTCCGGAATTTTTTGAGCCACAGCCATATACTTCCAGTGTCCTTTCAAGAAGCGAGACCCAAGCCAGCAACCCAGCCAGCCAGCCAAGCCAGCACGCCCTCAGGCCACGAGGAATCCGAGAAGGACTGGGAGTGCATGTAGCCATGGGTCCCGGGCCATGGCCCGTGCTTTTTTTTTTTTCAAGCCCAAGGTTTTTTTTTTTTTTTTTTTTTTTTTTTTTTAACCTTGTTTCGGCTAGTCTTGGGCTGATAATGGGAACCTGGCCAATCGATTGCAGGACATTGAGTCTTGCATGAACACATCGCTGCTTTCTTGGATGCTGGCTTTGTGGAAGCGAATTTGAATATGCATTGCTGTACCTTGCTTAGTTTTTTTCATCTCTCCACAGCGAGCATCAAACGTAGGTCAGAAGCACATCCTGTCAGCTAGTCCTTGACAGCGATGCGGACTTTCGGAGCGATGGACCGTACCTGTGCAAACAGAGTGGGCTTGTCACGAAAGCTAGCTTTAGCTAGCTGAAGTTTCTCCTTGCGTAAGCAAGGTAAGGGGCTCAAATGCCGAAAGATTGATTTTTTCAATTATTTGAGCCGAAAAGATTGAAAAACATCAATTATTTAGACCCCCCCCCCCCCTCCCCCCCTTCCCGGGTCTCAGGCTCGATTCCTCCCTGGTCCATCCCCCCCCCCGGGCAGTGGCTCAGTGTTCAGCAGTCTCGGTTTGCCCGTTTTGGACTTGGTGCTACGAACTTTTACATGTTCCACCGATTCAGCTTGTTCATCTGAGACCTCAGTCTTCTCGGTAAACCACCTCGCAAGAATCTTTGCACACGCTGCATGCAGAACCCAGAGGTGCTTTAAGACAGCTTCTGACGCCTCTCGTTGTTTTCAGTTTTCAAGGTTTGCAACGCCACCATGTGCGTTTGCGTGTCGCATCCTACGAATCTTGCCGGGCCTCTCGTTGTACACAAGCTACTAAGCTACCTATGAATCCACTCTGTCACCGACCCATCTCATGCAACAACTGCTAGCTTTCGTTCACCCGCTCCTCAAGTTCAGCAAGTCCTTGGCTTTCTCCGCGAAGTAGTGGACATTCACAGCATGGTACAGAAGAAGTCTTTCCTTTTGCCCTTTGGACCATTTCTGGCAACACCCCCTTCCCAGAACCACGGAAGTTTCTCCTTGGGACCCTAAGCCAGCGCCGGCACAAGTTCGCCACTAGTTTGGCCAAGGGGCCCGAAAAGAAAAAAAGAAGAAAGGGGAAAACAACTATTCGGCGGAAACTCTTCAACCTGGAGCCCCCAACCCTTGAGGGGTTGAACTGCTCAGGCTTAGGTCCGAACTCATCCCAGGAGGTTCAATCCCCACGCTCAGACGACGAGGTGCGAGATGAGTTGCGATGTTCAGCAATTGGCACCTGAGCAAGCCAGCCAAGAGAGAAATGGCGTTTGGTCATTCTTTATCCGCTCTTTATCCCATTCTTAGCTCCAAGTGGGAACTCAAAATTGGGGGCCTTCCAAAGAGGGTGGTTTTCCTTTTGGTTTCCCATTTGGAGGTGCTGATGCAAAGTCCAAGTGATGCGGTTATGGGAGCACGTCTTGGAGGGTTGGTTTAAAGGGACGCCAACAGGAAACAGTTGCCACACTGGGGTCGCTTTTTCGGAGTCGCCCCAGTTTTGACACACAGAGGGAGCCGGGAGTCAGCTTGAATTGACGATATCGCAACCTCAAAGAGACAGCCACGGCCCCAGCTGCGCATGAGCCAGGATAGCTACACCTTCAGCTCATGTGGGGTAGACATGTTCCATCAAGCAGAATACATGTGGAGTGTAGATCCGCATCGCAGTTTTGACCATGGCACACGTGTTTGTGGGATTCGTGGTGTATGCGCAACGTCAATATTTACTTTTACTTGCTGTAAGGGGATGGACACGGACATGGCATACTCACCAAAAAGCCGCCTGTGAATCTCAATGAACCAATTTTTGGTGGACCTCACGGGGATTTCAATGTCCACTTTTCAGGACTTCCAACCATGAAACAAAATCGCCCAACTTTTCAGACAAGTCCAAGCATTCCAACCGTTCCACCCAGGACTTCCAACTTTTCAGACATTCGCCGAAGCGCGAGATGGCGCTGGCCCACAGTCCGATCCAGGCCGGCGCGCCGCCATCGGGAAGTGCAGCGGAGGCGGGTGACGCGTTGTGGCTCTCTGGAGCCCCTTTTAGGGGGGTTGATCCATAGTCCATGTAGGGCCAAATGACCACGCGTAAGTCTTCCCATGTGAAAAAAATCGTATCTTAGGTGGTTTTCCAACCCATGGTCTAAAAGGGGGTTGATCCATAGTCCATTTAAGGCTGTGGCTCAAAAACCCGGAATTCCAAAATGGCTTGCCCTGGTAAGTGGAAACATGGACCAAAACCTGCGGCTTGCCCCTCCTGTTTAATTTTGAGCCACACCCATTTAGGGGCAAATCACGGGTAAGTTGTCCCATGAAAGTTTCATATCTTAGGTGGTTGTCCAACCCATAGTCATCCCACGTAAAGGCGTTGACCAACCTCCTTTTGCCGGCTCGTGTCGTTGCCTCAACCTTGGGACACCTTGGGGACCACCCGCCGGCCCGCGGGTTCTATTCAAAGCTTACGAGTCATTTCTGAGTCAGGGCTTTCCTTAGGGATAGATGTTCCTTTCGAGTTTTCTCAAGTGACCTTTGGAAGCCATGGGAGATCTACGGGCTCGTTGATTTTGAACCAACACGAAAGAACGCCGTGCAAGTTGCTGTGAGCAGTTCCGCTGGCAGCCACTTGGATTCGCTCTTGTTAGCTAAGTTTCTCTAGTTGCTGTAGGTGCTGTAGTTGCTGGAACAGACAAACCACACTCGCGAATTCTCCCAGAGAGATGTCCTGGTAGTCGGAAAACACACATTTGGGCTTGTCTCAAAATAGAACCCTCCTTTGGGGTGGTTTTCCTTGGACTCCCGTTAACCCCAAAAAAGGGTACTCCCCAAAAACACAAGACACGCAGACACACACACACACACAAACTTGACTGGTGATGCGACTGCTTCAGGCCGAGAGCGAGACCGGGGAGGGTGACGGCAAGGCGGGGTCGGGTCAGTTTGGGATCCAACTTTTTTGGTTTTGATGGTGTGTCTTTTGTCGGTGTCCCTTTGAAAGGTTTAGAGGGAAGCCGAAAGGAAAACAACCAATTTTGGGGGCTTCCCAATTTTGAGACAAACTCCCCAGAAGGAAGCGAAACACCTCCATTTTTTTGGGATCCTCAATTTTGTTGACATAAATCTGGGAAGAATTCGAGGAAGAAGCCAAATGCACACACCGGAGGCCTGTAGCACAAGCGCCTGCCTTCTCATTTTTGGCAATTGGTCTAAATATTGTTAGTCGACAGTCAATATCAATCCGCCACAAGGCTGACATTCTGTATGCCAGCGAACGGTGGATGCTCACGCGCTATTCTGTCGAATGTATTTGAGCACACAGACTGTCGAGGCAGGCAACAGTTTTGCCAGGGGCTGGTAGCTTGTAAATATATGGTATATCGACGCGGATTACCCACACGCATACATGTCAGGGTTTGACCAAACGGCGAGTGGCATAGTGGTACCCAGTGACTCACTCAGCAGATGTGCAGGACTCACCTAGCACATTGACAGATGCATGACATGTTTTCTTGAGCTGGCAGGCATTTGCACATACAGGGGGGGAGAGAGACCCCAGACTTTTCAAATCTTAAGGCGAGACCGCGTAAAACGAGCTCAACATGTGGGTCCTTGGAGATCCGTTTCTGGTTTTGGACTAGTTTTTGCTTCTCGACTGGAAAGTCGAGAAGCCGCGGCTCCTATGGCGGAAAGAGATGGCCATGCGAGTCTCCATCAACTCGGATTCTCGTGTGACTGAATTTTAACTGCTCGTTGACTTTCCGCAATGCACGGTAAGTGGAGACTGACCGAGTGACCCATGTGTATGGACGAAATCCATTTCGCACCAGCTAAGAAACCCGGAATGCTCCCATCGTTTCAACGTGGTGCGAACGGATGTCGTCCATCCACAGTATCAGTTTCGATGCCGAGCAAAGCATCCCCGATCAATCTAAGATGGTTTCCACGGCTCCCCCAGCCACTGCCCAGGTTGAACAGGATACACAACCGCTATATCGCCACTATGCAAAGGATGTACGGAGATAGATAGATAGACAGACAGACAGACAGACAGACAGACAGATAGATCAACAAGTATATTCCTCCGAAAGAAAGGTGGTCGGGGATCGCGGACTTCAGTTTCGCCTTCCTCACTTTCTCTTTTTTCGGACCTTGCCCAGGATCTGGAGCTCAGGCCTCAGACCCCCAAAAGCAGCGGGAGCTCCGGACGAAGCCGCAAAGCGCGTTTTTTTTTTTTTTTGCAAGCCGCAAGCGTGCTGTAGGTGTGCGTTCGTTTGTTGCTTCAGATGCACACCTTCGGTTGTGCGAGATGCAGAAGGTTAAGAATGGATGAAGATTTGAGCAAGAGGATGAAGATCACATGCGGTTGCGCGAGGTTAATCGAATTGCGCTGAGGCCGGACGGCGATGAGACTGTAGGCCGGGCAGCACAGGTTGAACGGGGCGGGGGCAGAAAGGGCTTGTCGAAAGGACAAAGTCGAGGGGCAAACCATGGCAATCGCGGAGACAGAAGGTTATCCTCAATTGGTCCATTTGTGGTTTGAATCCCCTGTTCTTGTGGAACCCCCCCAACCTCCACACCTCCAAACTGCCGGGCTCCAAGCCATCAGTCGCGGGGAGGCTGAAGCAAGCCAGAAGCCAGCCCAGAAAGTGCTTCAGTGACCAGCTGAGGCTGACACACAACTGTGATTCGAAGAGGGCTTTGCGGCTGAAAGCAATGCTGAAGCTAATGTTTTTTGTTTTTTGGTTTTTTTTTGGTGGGGGTGACAGTGAAGCTACTTGGGGAACTTAGGTGACCATCTTACCTTGATCAGGAGCACCCCCCTCGGGGCGGGGACACCCTTGGGGTTGAGTCTATTTTGGGGTAGTACAACATGGAACCTGCACACGTGCACATACACATGATATGCATGGAGCAGGAGAAGGGAATCACGCAGAAGCGATTCCTTTGACCCTTTTGGCACGTTGTGCATGACACGAACAGTTTGCGGGGCAGTGTGCTCAAGCCCTTCAGTGCCAGTTTCCATTGAATCCACTATCCAAGCTTGGCTGCTTGCCATTCAGACCACACTTCTTTTTGGTGGGGTGATTTTCTTGGGGTGATGTTTTGCGTGATATTTTCTTGGGGCGTGTTTTCTAGGTTTGTTTTTAAAAACCAATTCAAGAAACCTCTATCATATTCTAATCTTCTTTCGGGGGATGTTTCATTTTCTGAGATATTGTTTCGGCAGGAAGCCTGCGACAACCTCAGGCTTTCGTCTCATCCACCTAGGCTTTGTTTTTGGGACCCGGAAGGAAGCAGCCCCATACTCTTCCCTTGGTGGAGATAGATTCGGATCTCACTCGGCCGAAGCGCCGAAGGGCGTTGCGAGAGCATGGCTTTTGGAACCGCGATCGTCCACGTGCCGGCGTCGGAAGCAGGGCAACTCCCTACAGTCTAACTTAACCCCAAAGCCCTCCATCTTTTGCAGGAATCTCCTTTTGGGGACTTTGGATCCATGCCAATTTCGGGTAAATCAGGTAACCCTCAGTTGGTTTGGCTTCGATTTGGATGCGAACCCTGGTTCAAGCGGGGTAAATAATAAATAGCAGCTACCCCACAACCCCACCAAACCACCAAACCAAGCCACTATTTAGGGGGAAGCTGAGTAAAGAAATAAGTTTGCCGCCTGGTTCCTTACGCAGGCCCTTGCACTTTGCCGGGTGCTTTGGAGGACCTCGAGGAGGAGTCGGGAGCCCCGTTGGACGAAAAGGGGCTGGCAGCCTGGAGAAAATGTAAACCAAGCAACTCGACCCTTGTCCCCTCAAAGAACACTGACTTGATCCACACCAGGGTGAACTTAGGCAGATTTGCATTTCTCCCCATTTTTTCTCCCCATTTTTTTTTCAACTTCCTTTCCGGCAGAAAAGGAGAGACAGAGAGAGAGAGAGTTGTGCTGTCTACTTTCACCCTGGGGTAAACCGTGGATTAAAGTCACTGTTTGAAGGGGCAAGGGGCCAGTGAAATTTGAAGACCACCTCCAGCTGCCAAGATTTGTCCAAGCCAGTTCGCCAGAAGCGACCGCATTCCTTGGAAGCCATCAGCCCTCACAGCAAGGCTCATGGACTTGCTACTTTTTGGGTTTGGAGCATTTTCGTCCTCTTTTTGGTCCAAGCGCGCGACTTTTTGGTCCAAGGCCGCAAATTTTTTTTTGGGCCAGCGCCGCGCCTTTTTTGGGCCGGCCTTCCGAATTTTTTTTGGGCTAAGCCTGAGCCTTGGTCATTCGTGGTTCAGCGACTGTTTTTGGGGCATCCGCTCGTTCGGAGGTTTCCTCAACCAACCACAACGGGCTCGAAAAAGAGGGGGGGGGGCCTCTGATTGACCGACCCCCAAGCGGCTTGATCCAGGTGCCGAGATAGCGAAGGCGGGCCCGTGGCTTTGGTGTAGTTTGTGAAGGGTCCGAGGAAAGCTGAGGCTGTGCGAGTTATGACTATAGGTCACTTTTCCCGTTCAGTGGTGAAAGTCATCCTTTATGGTGGTTTCCTGAATGATCACCCCATGTAAATGAGGGATACACCGAGGGATTTTCCCAATCGTTGTTGCGGCTTCCTGATTTTCGATTTGTGAACGGCAGAAGTGGACTTCAGCTCAATGATTCTAGCGGCCCCACTGCTGGAAAAGGGTAGCACATACATTTTGCGTGTCTTGTGGTTGACAGTAGGGAATTTTCAGGGAAAACCCACCTTTTCAGGGGGGTCGCCTAGAACAGACACACCCCCTGTTTTTTTCTTCTTTTTTTTCTTCTTCTTTGTCTTTTTGCGGATTCTTTAACCCACCGAAAACCTCCATATGGCTGTGGTTGTCAAAACCAATGGGATCCCATTTTGGTTGGGATTGGTGAATTCACCGCCCATTTTAGGCTTCCTATGGTGGTTGGATTGAATCGGTCCCGAACTCATTGGGGGCTAACCGGCTTTTGATTTTGAGCCATGGCATGTCTTTGGCCCCCCCGCAAACTGACCACCCAACTGATTTCTGGCGATTGGCCTCCTTTGGCCTGGCCACCTCCCCGAGACGGCAGAGGGCCCCCGAAATGTTGCGTTTGGTTCCCTCGGTTGTTTTGATTGCTATTTCTTTTTCTTTGACCTGTTGGTTTTTCCTTTTTGGTCCATGTGTAGTCATGGTCCCAAAAGGCAACCTTCTATTTCTGGGTCCTTTGGGCAACTGAGTTCCTTCCTTGGGTTTCCCTGCAGGTTGATCAAAAGCTCCGAAAAAGGTCCCTGGGGTGACCGTTGGGGGAAATCTGCAACATGGTCAGCAATATTGATGACCACCCGTGAAAGAAGCCCCACAAGGGAAGCCGAAGCCCGAATTCAATGTTGAGAGCTGGGGAGCTGGGTGTGGCGATCTTTGTTTGAACTTCCTGCAGATCCCTTGTATCCCCAAATGTGGCTCAAAACAGCCGGGGGGACTCCCCAAAGTAGCGGTTTTCGTTTGGATTTTGCTCTTTGAACTTTGAACCAACCCCCAAACCCGGGCATTGGACCCAACTGGCCGGCTGGGCGCTGGATTTGCCTCTCCGCAGGCGCCAAGGCTGAGAGCCCGAGTTGAGAGATGGCGCGCGCCAACCGCGCGCGTCGTTCGCACGGCCCGTGGCGAGACGCGACGCCCTTCGAAGTTGGAAGGCGAAAGGCCGAAGCACTCGTTCACCGGAGGGGTTTACCGGGACTGAGACAGATTGGGCTGTGGGTCAAAACGAATGGTATCCCATTTTGGGGTAGGCGAATTCACCACCCTTTTTAGAACCTATTTTACTGGGGATTGGGATGTTCACCGGGGGTACGATCTCGATTTTGTCCACGGCCATTTGACCTTGGGTTACCCAGTTGTTTGATTTCGTGGGTGTCTGGCCAACATGCGCAATTTCCGCGAAGCGAGGTCGCCTACAGCTTGCGAGCTATGCTACATTTTTTTTATTCTTCTTTCGGGACGGAAAACTGGACGGGATGCGATGTACCATTTTGGGTCGACCTGGCCTTCAAGGACACAAGTCGCTTCCACTTTGGCTGTGCCGAGGTCTTTGCAATCAGAGTCCATGCGACTCTTCAAGCGGGAATGTTTCTCTTCGCGATACACGGAGTTGCTTCTGTTTACCATACATCTGTTTCTCTTCAATGTTTCTCAAGCAAATGTTTCTTTTCACGTCGAGTTGCGTCTTGCTCTTGTCTTTACTCTTCGCATTCTCTTGTTCGTGGACCTGGCCGGCCATTTCGGTCTTGTATGCTCCTATGCAGCCGCAGCCCAGAGCTTGATTGTCCTTGCATTGGCTCCTTCATTTTTTCTGTGAGACATTTCACCGGGCGTCAAAACGAACACCTGTCCGACCGGGTGGGTCTGTTTGCCACAGCAACCAACAACGACACCCAACGAGCCAGTCAGGACGTTGCGTTTTGACACATTCTCCTCTGCGAGCCCAGCAGAAAAAAGAAAAGAAGCTCTGAACCAGCCCCAGAGGTGTGGCCCAGCTTTTTTTGGAACCACACGAAAGACGAGGGGCGTCGAGGTGCCGAACTGGGTCGCGTCAGAAAAACCTCCGCGCACGGCAGAGGATTTTTAGAAATCCTGGCCGCCAAAAGAGCGGGACTTAGCGAGGCCTCAAGCTGTCGACACATGCAGGGCGGAATATTTTGGACAGAGCCTAGGTCCAGGATCCTTTTCCTTTCTCACCCATTTTTTTTTGGGGGCTTCCCCTAACATAGACAAAGCCGAATATTTTTTCGGGAAGCCCTCTCTACTGGAGGACCCATTGAGCTCCTGGCCCCGAGGGTGCAACGAGTGGAAACAATTGTAGCATGATTCAGCAATGCATCCAGTTTCCTTTTCCTTTGATTCTGAACTCAAAGCGGGAGGCAGCGGGAGGCGCTGCAAACATATGAGTTCATTTTATTTGGCGGCAAGGAGCCGCACCGAAATATCGGGAATATTGATATTGGCTAGTGATTTTGTTGGGGAACACCCTCCCAAGTGGTGGACATAAATGTTGTCCACCAAAGGGTCTTCCATCCAATTCGCACTCGTCTCATAAATCTGCCTATTCTATAGCGAGCTCACCGATTCGGGGGCATAACGAGCTATGATAAGATCCTCTACGTGGGGATCGGATTCTTGAAATTCAGCTTTTGGAATTCTCGTAAAGATTCCAGGTGTGTTCCTTTCACAGGGGAACAAATACCTTTGAGCGTCAATGGCTGAATTAAACGGCAGGGGCACCAAAGGGGTCTCCTTTCTGGTCTGAGATCGAATGCCTAGTGTGGGTTTGCCTCACCTATCAGGATGAGCGAAAGAAGAACACTATGTGGGTGGCTCGTTTTTCTTGAGGCTGCCACCGTTTGGTCTGAAGCTTTTTTCCTGAAACCAAAAGGAACACCACCATTTTTTTAGGGGATCCAACCTTAACAAAGACCCGCCCATTGGGAATGTTTCATATTTGGGTATGGCTCAAAAAACCGGAATTCCAAAACGGGTTGCCCTGGTAAGTGGAAACATGGACCAAAACCTGCGGTTTGCCCTAGCTCTGAAATTGTGAGCCACTGCCATTGCAGGTGTGTTCTGCGCCATGGAAGATCCGCTATCAGCATCCGACAAGCAGAGGCCTCAGGGCTTTCAAGGCCGGGGCCATCAGCAAGGCTCAGATTTTTCGACTCAAAGGTCAGAGCTAAGAAGAGAAAGATCAGAGATCATAGGTGTCCTTTTTTAGGTTGGTTAAAAAAATGATGGCAGTGGTTTAGATGAGTTTTGTTCCATTTACCAGTGCCATCTATTTGTTCCAAAAGGCCACCTATGTCAGAGATGTGAAGGGCCTCTGAAACCCCACAGGGCTCATGACAGAAACCCCTGTTTCCATTTGCTTGAGAAAAATAGATTAATTCCCTTAAAAACCGCCCGGGGAAGAACATAGATATTTATGTCCAGCTTTTTTGCCATTGGGCTGAATTGTGATTCGAAGGTTGAAGCTGCTTTTGCTGCTGGATCGTTCATTGATTGTTTGTCAGATGCAGATTTTGTGATGGAAGTAGCATCTTTGCGACTGACTCCACCACCTCATGCGTATTCTGCCCAGCTATTCTGCGAAATGGAAGTTGATGTTGTGTCGTTCAGTCGGGTCATTAAATAATGTGAGGTTCGTAGCATCAGCAGCGTATGTTTGCTTTAAACTCACATTGCCGCATGCATGTTTGTGTGTATGTGTGTGTGTGTGTTTGCAAGCAAAGGGGCATGTATGTAAGTATACAAATGCTTAAACGCTTATGCGGCGTGTTGAACCGAACATGTGTTGCTGCCGAATTGCAGAATGTGCAGATGTGTAAATGTATATGTGTGAGTGCATGCGCATGGTACAAGTTTCGATGGTAGCAGTGGTCCATGCGCATCGCAAGATCAATATGTCATGCGACGTGCAAATAATTGCGAGTCGAATGCCGCCCTGAAGTATTAGAAGAGCTGGGAATGCCGCCTCGTCAACCCAGGCACACCTTGTGAGTCTGGAGGATGAGGGGTCGATTGGCAAGGGTGTGTGTGTGTGTGTGGGCGTGTGCGTGTATGTACACAGTTGTCTGCCTCCATGTATATATGCGTATATGTGTCTATGTGAAAGTGTCTATGTGTACATGTGTATATGTGGGTATGTGTATATGGGTATATGTGTATGTGTTTATGTGTATATGCGCATATGTGAAGATGTGCACGTGCACGTGCATATGTGGTTACGTGTTTAAGTAGTATTTATATACATATAGATATATGGCCATTTGTATATGTGTATATGGGCATACGTGTATATGTGTTTTTGTATATATATATATATAGTATGTAGTATATAGTATATAGTATATAGTATCTAGTATATAGTATCTAGTATCTAGTATCTAGTATCTAGTATCTAGTATGTAGTATATAGTATATAGTATATAGTATATACTATATATATATATATCTATGATTATCATATGCATATTTACATGCGCCCGTATGAACGTTCTCAATGCGATAGCTTTGCTGATAGCAGTGCCCTTTTATGCGGATCCTGGGATCTTTTTTCTGCTGCCATGTCAGCCGAGTTGACAGCGGCAGTGTCTCACCCTGCCAGGCGTAGCGCGCATACCGTGTATCTCACAGGAGCGATGTGCAGAACGAAACTTTGGGTATGAGAGCTTGCTTCAGCGTGTTCATTTTGGCTCCATGTTTTAAGACGACGGCCATTTACCGAATCTTCAACTAGGCGTTTCGCGTGCATGTCATGTATCATGATCCCATTGTTTGAACCCGGAAATATGTCAGAAGCATTGACCATAGAGAAAGGAGCGAACGCACTTGGGAACTGTGCTCAGGGAGAGTTTTGACCGAGAACAAGGACACCAACTGAACGTGTTCCTGTTCTGACGGAGTCTATGTTTCACAGCTTCACCATTTACTTGGCTCCTAGTGTCTGGACTCAAGCACTCTTTCTATGGAGCTCGATCTACTCAGACACCAGCGATCATCAGCCTAGACTCCTATTTTTTTTCACATCTCCCTGGTTGTTTGGAGTCGATGTTTCACAGCTTCACATGTTACCTTCGTTCTTTTTGGGCTCCTCTCGTTTTGATCAGCTCGCGCCCAAGGCTTCGTTAAAAATTCTCGTCCCACGGCTCTGCGAGCTCGAGCGAAGCGCGCGAAGCGCCGAGCCTTAGGCTCCCGCTGGCTTGGTACAGAGGAGGTGTCGGGGTGACTCACGTCCAGGATCACATCCCCCGGTGTTTTCAGGGTGACTCACATCCCCTGGAAGGGCAACCCCCCTCTAGCGTTCATTTTCTTCATTCGAAGCTCGAATCTTCATCAGTTTCTTTTGACTTCTTAGTCCTTGGCTTTGGCCTCACTTCTGAAGATGCATATTTCTTTCTCAGCCCGGTGCAAACCAGGTGGCCACTGGCCAAAACCTGTCCTCAAGCCAGCGGCGAAAACGCGTTGCGAGAGGCTTGGCCCTCGCGTCCGCGAGTTGAAGCCAGACGGGGTAACCTTCTTTGGGGTTCTGTAAAGGGACACCAACAGGAAGCTACCAATGTTTCTGGGTGTGTGGGGTGGGGGGGGGGGCGGGGTGGACACTTATCCTTTTGTGTAATTGGTTTTGGGTATTCCATGCCCGTTTCTTCTTTCTTCTTCTTGTTTTTTCCGTTTCCGTTTTTGTTTTTTGTTTTTGTCGGGTATTCAGTTGGAATCCTTGGCAGTTGGCCATCCGCAGTCCTCTGTTTCCCGAAAGCGTAGCGAAGGCTTTGGATAAAAGGGTTGCTCTGCTTGCATGGCTTGACATTCACAGATTGCCCAGCTGCCCGCCCTGCGCAGCGGGGGGGGGATGCCGGGCACCTCCTCGCGCACATCTGCTAGGTTGCAGCTCTGCTGTGCGAAGCTCTGCTCTAAGCAGTTCTGCTGTGCACCCCGTGTTTGCGTGGCACGGCGCATTTCAACATAGCTTTGGTTTGGATCCCGTCTCAGCATGGCCTTGCTGCACAGCGCGTCTTAACATAGCTTTGCTGCGTATCGCGTCAACATAGCCTTGCTCAAGAGTGCATTCGGCATAGCTTTGCTGCGCAGCACAGCTGATCATACCCTTGCTGCGCAGCGCATCTCGCCCTAGCCTTGCTTCGCAGCGCGTCTCAACATAGCCTTGCTGGACGTCTCAACATAGCTTTGCTGATGGTGATGATGATGATGATGATGATGATGATGATGATGATGATGATGCTGATGCTGATGACGATTACGCATCGCTTTCGCATGCCCAGTCGTCATCCTCATTTTTTCGTGTAGATTCCGGATGTGTCGTTAGGCACTGCTTGCGATGCTCGGGATGCGCGGTCATCATCATCCGCATCATCATCCCTTATGGTGATGCGATGATGATGATCACCATGTCGACGATGATGGTGGTGATGATGATTATGACGCTGATCGCATCATGCCGATGATGATGATGATGATGATGATGATGATGATGATGATGATGATGATGATGATGATGATGATGATCACGCATGGCTTGCGCATCCCCAGCGTCGCCAGCGGGGCTTGACGATAAGCAACTTACAATTTAAGAATGATTTGTTGCCACCCTTCCTGTAAGCCTTCCCGTTTGACAAGCAGGGTCGGCGGATGTCAACATTGCCGTGATGCACCACAGTGCATTTCAACATAGCCTTGCTTCGCAGCCCGTCTCCACATAGCCTTGCTGCGCAGCACATCTCAGCATAGCTTTGCCGGACGCACCTGGCCCTTGTCCCGCAGCTTTGTTTGGGGGGATGATTGGGCTATTTCTTTTTTATGAGCGCTTTCGGGGTGAGCGGTTTCTAGTTTTCCCAGGAAAGCTTGCCCGCTTTGCTGCTTTATGTTGGACTTTGAGTTATGAATGAAGTATCTTAGTTGAAACCAGCGAGGGGGCCAACAGGGCCCTTCAGACGAAAACAGGTTTCTATTCCAGACCCATCCTTTCTACGTGCAGCTCTCTAGAGAATGTCAAGCCTTGGGAATCTGAAGCTATCTAGCGGATGTTTTGGCAAAGTCAATTGCCTGGCTTCAAGTCTCGTCTCTCACGCCGGCCCCTGACAGCATCCGGGGCCGAACGCTGGAACAGGCATGGTCGTTGTGAGGCTTGGTCAAGATCTTTCGCCGACTCCTGAACGGATAAATTCTGGGCAAATGTTGACCCCATATTAGTCAACCCCGATTTATTGATAGGGGGGCGTCCCTGGGTTTAGGCTAGTGAAAAGTCACCATTTCCAGCTGATGTCGAGGATCCTTTGGCAGGCAGGCTCTTGGAATACTCGTGTTTTTAGAATGTTGCGGCTCTTTACCTGGCTTTGCTTCCGTGCAAAGCTACGCCTTGTTCCAACGGCACGCAAACCCCACGTCTCGGGGTTGCCGATCAAGGCACGTGGATTCTGGGTTCTGATCGATTCTGTGTGCTGCGGTAGCTTGGTTAAGCCCATGCTTCTGCTGGAATGTGTTGCATTGATGATGGGCAAGTATGCCCCTGAGCTGACATGCCCTGCAGCAAGTCAAGTTGTCTTGAGAGGATCTCGGAAAATGAGAGCCGATGGTGCCCAGGCAATGTTTGTCCAAGCCCGCGTTTCACGAGAGCAATCTCCCATTGAATTTTCCGCATCCACGTCCAGTTTTGTCAACCAACAGAGATGTGCCTATTGTGTACGTGTTCAATGCTGACCAGAGGCGGCAACAAAAGACACTCGCTTGATACAACTGCCTGTATTTAAACGCCATGCTGTCCATTCAAATTCCACATTTTTTAGCAACGTACTGCTCTTGATGTAGGGCACGTTGCCATCCATTTCGTTTGGGCGCAGGATTCAATTTTCTCAGCACCATCAGATTCACTTCAGACATTTGTACATATTTTCTGTTTTTTTCACAGGGTGACTTCTGCCCCATTTGATTCCACACATATGTGGGCATGACATCTCACAGCACAACTTCAAAACTGTCAGGATGTTTGCTCAGGAGATGTCGGAAGCAGAACCAACCGTCGTTGAAGTTCTGAAGCTGGCATTCGCAGTCAGTTCAGTTTAGAGCCCGTGCTGGTTTAGGTAGGCGCTATGACAGCACAAGACTCGGACGGCTGCTGCTTAAGAACAGCTTCAAAGATCCTTTTTGAAATCAGGGGCGCAGTGGCATTCTAGGAACTATTGTCCTTGGGAGGAAAATACCACGGATCTTAACATAGTTGGAATTGACCGGCTTTCAAACGCATGTACATGAGTTTTTGCGTTGGGCAGACATTCCAGTTTCCGCGATTGACCTGTAATGACATAGAATGGGCTTCAATTTAGCGTTTTGAAATGCTTGCCTGCTCGGAAGGACAGAAAGGAGTTCAAGACAAATGCATTCATTGGCGTCATTGTGAAATTGCCTAGAGTTCTTCTTTGGTTTACCTCCTCCTCTTAGCCTTTGCATTGCTTGTCTACTCAATAATTTGCACAGTGGCAGCCGGCCAGTCGCGTCCAGCACGTATTTCCTTATGCCCGGAGTTTGCACAAAAAAGGCTGGCTGTAAGTTTGAGTAGGCAGCCATCACTTGCTCTGGCAAGAGACTCCAGCTAGCTTTGGTGACCTCATGATTTTGGCAGAATACCCTTTCTCCCACTAACATGGCAGCCTGTGGGAGGGTAGCTGGAAGATCAATTTCCTTTTGGAGGGACCCCCTGTCAGGTGCCATGGCAACGTGGGAGAGAGGGCAATGTGTGTAACGAATGTTAGGGCGACTCATTGGGCTCCCTGCCAGCCACAAAGGCCCCCTCCCGCCCACCCCCACCCGGCTCGGCTCCCGAGGCTCCCGGACTCTCCGCTCCGCGCGCTTCTTCTCTGCTCCCCGCGCTGCTTCTGTGCAATGATTGCTCCGCTCTTCCCGCCCTTCGCTCCTTCCATTCTGTTCCCCGCGCTTAAAACTGATGCGCTCTGCGAAAAGCACTCTGATGCGTGGCTTTCGTCCTTCTCGCTCGTTGGATGCGGGGGCTGTTCGAGCGCTTTGGCTGTTGCTCTGCCAGCGTCGCCCTTCCGCGGGCGCTAGCTTTTGCTTGCCTCTCGTAATCAAGCCTCACAACCCCGATTTCAGTTATTTAGGCCCTCGTCGTACTCACGCATGTCCAATTTGTGGATGGTTTGCAAGTTGATTGTGACCAATGCTTTATGCAGCTTGGCTTGGACAGAGCGGCACATGTGTCACGTCCCTGCTTGAACCATTGCTCTTGTAAAGTTGTGAAAGTGGCCTCCGGGAATTCAATTACAAAAAAATGCTCATGACCTTGGGACAGATCTGCTTTCCAAACGACGACGTGGAGCAGTGGACGTGGGGGGCAGGGCCTGCACGGATGGTTTCCTTGCTGGCTCCAAGGGGACGTGCATTCATGCAATAGATGCATGTACTATGTGTGCATAACACCAGCTGTGATGAACAGTCTCTTGAGCAAACCGTACTTTCCTTCCTTGGAGGTGCCTGAAGAAGATTTCTTTCGTTCTTAAACCAGCCAGGCAAAGTGAACCGTGCCCTTGCTTTCAGAGTCTGTCGCACAGTTTGCAGAAGATCCGCCTTCCATGCCAGAGATTTTCTTGACATGCTCGCGCCGATTTTGCAGCTCCAGCGCTAGGAAAAGGGCGTAGTGCTCATTGAAGGAACGGAACTGCACGGTGGTGCAAGCTGACTCTCAGGCTTTGGCACCTTCAAGTGCTGTCCAGCGCATTGAGCAGCTTTCCAGCGCATGGTGGCACTCAAAAGACGACACACAGCCAAACAAAAGATGCAGTGCGGTTTGGACTTGGACTCTTCCGACGTTTGTATTCCCACGGACCTTGCTGGCATTGTCCCCCGTTCTTCACATACGCCAAGGGCATGACGCAAGGGTTGCACACCTCCGACCGGGGCTCCTTTCATGCCCCTGGACTCTTTGCCATGGAGGCGGGGGCCTTGGCTCAGCTTGTCAGGCTTTGCCGTTGCCGTAGTTTTTTCCCCCTCCCGTTCTTTTTTCTCCTTTTTTTTCTCCTTCCTCTTTTTCTCTTGTCTTTTTCTTCGGTTTGACTTCTTGAAGGTGGAGTTGTTGCCTTTTTTGTGTTGCCCCCACGGCTGTTTTTGTTCTGTTTGACTGAAGGGTTGCGCGGGGGTTTCGGTCTTCACGTGTCTTTGCTCGACCAAACGCAGGGTTCGGCCAGTGTTGGGTGACACGTCCTGATCAATAGGCAATGCAGAGACTAGTCACGAAAGCTAGCTTTAGCTAGCTGAAGTTTCTCCTTGCGTAATGCCAAGATTGAAGGGTCTCAACTGGCCAGCAAAGATGTTGATTTTTTCAGATCTCAGTCTTCTCAGTAAACCACCTCGCAAGAATCTTTGCACACGCAGCATGCAGAACCCAGAGGTGCTTTAAGACAGCTTCTGACGCCTCTCGTTGTTTTCATTTTTCAAGGTTTGCCACGCCACCATGTGCGTTTGCGTGTCGCATCCTACGAGTCTTGCCGGGCCTCTCGTTGTACACAAGCTACCTATGAATCCACTCTGTCACCGACCCATCTCATGCAGTTACCAAGTCATTCAAAAGGTTGTTCCAGTTGGAATCCGGGGTCTCATATCTCTTCAAGTACTGACCACTCCTGCTGGGCTTGAATCATTCTAAGACTGCAATTTAAGGTTTTTGTAGTTTCTCATGCTTGTTGGCACATTGCAACTGGTTGTGCAGCGCGCAGCGCAGATGCGCAACTTGTCGCAGACCAAACTGTGAGGCTGCCGTGGAAGCTTCAACCACGATTGTCGAATGAGGAACCGACCCCATTTGTTTCTGTATTTTGGGGTGAGGGTGGGTGGGTGTAGGGTTGGTTTAAGGTTGGTTCCCCTCATAGTAGTAGTCTACTGGTAGGGGAGGACATTGGGGGCCCAAAAACTGAGGGCTTACCCAATTTTTCTAGGTCCTTTTGCGGAAACGAGATGTTTGTCCGAGGTTCGGATTTCGAGTTGACTTTTACCAATTGGTTGACTATCCTCCCACCACGAAGCATGGGCTGATGTGCGTCCAACCTTTTTTGAAAAGCTTGCACCCATGGTTGGTAGGGTAATGCTGACCCCGGATGAATAAATCCCTGTTTATCAATATGAGGGTGTCCCCGGTTTTAGTGGGGATTTATCACTTTTGGAGGGGAACACCCCCATATTAATAAACAGGGGTTTATCAATCCTGGGTCAACATTCATTTCAAGATTGGTTCGCGCGTGGATCTTCCAAGTTCTCCCGGTCTCGCAAAAAACCGGTGTGAGGCTTTGCGAAGGAGGAGGAACCGCCGCGAGGCGGGTGCGAAATTCGGCAGCCCATGGGGTGGATGAGTGCATGGACGATTAGATCGGCACTTTACTAGTCAAGACGAGAACAAAAAGGAAAGAAACAAAAACAAGCAAACACAAAATACAACAAATATCCCAAATTAAATCTCGACCCAACTAGATCTTTGACCTTCACCCGGAGAAAAAAGAGGATCATCTTGCTGAAATTTTCGGCCGTGCCCTTGCTTTTTTTTTTTTTTTTGGCGGGTGTACTTCGTGACGTCCAACGGCACTGGACGTTTTCTCCCATCTCGCTCCGGTCGCGTCAATTTCTGGAATGCCCATGTATCGCACAGAGGCTCGAGCCAAAACCCGAGACGAAAGTAAGACTTGCATCTCCTGGACCCAATGGGCGTTGAAAAACGGCTTTACTCATAGAGATGTTCTCTTCCAAAAGTGATGAAATCCCCCTTTCAAGTCTTGAGATTCATCCGGAGTGTCACAGATTAGGCAACCGAAATCTCGACTTTGTGGACGGCTTGCCACCTCCGTGGGGGCATCGGACAAAATTTGGATGGAGTGTCTGGATCGTTGGATCCATTTCTTCATTTGGCTGCGCACGGCAAGGGGGCAATTTCATTGCTGTGACTTGACGTTGCAAGATATCCTTGTCAGTCTGAAGAGTCATACCAAGTACTTGACATTGACACCCGGAGCGAATGATCAGCGTGCACACCTGGCTCATTCCATTGCCAGACTAAACGAACTTTCGTTGATTCTTTGCCCTTTTAAGTTCCCTCGTTTTTGTACCGATTCCATCATCTGCCCTCCGGATCATGGCTTGGCATAGTCTAGCCATGTTTGCGAACATCTAGATAGGGGACGCAACACGTTAACTTTCTTTAGGTGTCGAAGTGCGGCCAAGATTCTGATGCAACACCCATGAATGTTTGTTTCTCAGTGGTTACACGGTGCTTGGCTTCGGTTCTGGTTGTTTTCATGTTAACCAACCCCAAAACCGGAGATTCTGATAGTTCCCTTCTCGAAAGGGTGATATATTCAAGTTTCGTGGGGATTCAATGGGTTTCACGCTGATGGGGTTTGGGTTTGGAATGCCCACTCCGGAAGGGTATACAGCAGGTTGCCTCTTGGGGTAGTGGATGATGACCGGCCGCGCTCTCTCGTTTTTTTTGCACGTCCAGTTTCTCCGAATTTTTCCCCAACAGCTGAAAGCTAAGGGGTCTCAGCCCAGATAAGGTTTGGGGGTGGCTTGGGGGAGCTCTGGAGTTAGGTTCGAGCAAGGTTCCGGAGGTTCAGGGGTGGTCCGGCGCAGGCCAGGTGTAAGGTTCAAGGGTGGTCCGGTGCAGGGTTTAAGGAAGGTTCCGGAGGTTCTGGGGTGGGCCGGTGCAGGCCAGGTGTAAGGTTCAAGGAAGGTTGTGGAGGGTCCGGTGCAGGCCAGGTGTAAGGTTCAAGGAAGGTTCCGGAGGTTCCGGGGTGCTCTGGTGCAGGTCAGGTGCAAGGTGAAGAACTGAAGCCTGAGACGCAACGAGCAGACAAATCCCAGGCCTTCAGCGCTTGTTGGGGATACCACCTGCGCGTTCTTTTTCTGCACGTCCAGTTTCTCCGAAACTGCCAGGATGCGGGGCCGAAGCCGGGCAGCTCAGGTGTTAAAAGCTGAAACGATCCCTGGCACACTGAGGGCAACCGATGGGGTGGTTGTCTAGGTGTCCCCCAGGATCGTGCCCTTTCTCACCCTTTTTTTGGGGAGGGTTCCCCTACTACAATCCCCTACTTAAATAGGCTACAGAAAAAAAGGGTACCCTTATTCTCAGCTCTCTACTGGAGGGCCTAGTTGTTTAAGCGATGGTTCTTCAAACGTGTTTAAAGAATCAGGGCTGGGGGGGCCAAGCGGGGGAAGGGGGCAGGGGGGGGGGGGGATTTTTGGACAAGCCTGGGATTAGCACGTTATTAAGGGGTTCGTTGGGGATAACCCCCCCCCTCCCGCCCGCCTCCAGCAGTGGTCAATTCGGGGTGGGCCCAAATCCAATTCGGAGGTTTCAGTTTCCGACCTTGAAACCAGTGCCATGCATTTCCGGCAAAATACCTGTGATCAAACCAGGAATCAGGTCGAGGTGCTGAGCTGTCGCGAAGATTGGAGACAACAAGTTGCAGGGCGGAGAGCCCGCGTGCTAACTGCACGAGCACTTGGTTCATACTGCATCTCATACAAGGTATCTGCATTGGACTGTTCTTTATTTTTGTGGAACGCTGGCTGTCATTTGCTTGCATTCACAATCATGGGGCACATGTTGCAGAAGCGTCCTGCAGTTCGGGCAGCTAGAGTCTTCTGCACATGACGTCGACTGCTCAAAAGTTCCTTCAGCAATCTCAGTCCTTGCTGAAGAAGGTCACTATGCTCGCGGAGGGCTAGGTCTTGCAAAGTGACATATCGCCTTTATGTGACTCAGATTCCATGGAGAAGAATGGAGTAGAGTTGCCAGTTGCAGTGCAATCGGCGTTAAGTGCAAATCCTTTATATCAGGTTTGGGAAAGATTTCAGCTAGTATGTTTGTGTGTCTTTTCTTCAGGATCCCTACTTTTTTGCGGTTTTCAGGAAAACTAAAGGACAACCGCCTATTCTTTTGGGGTCCCCTTAAAAAGACATACTCATAAGGTTCATTTGGGAGGGACATAGGGGGCTGTCTAATTTTTGCGCAAACCAGCAAGGCACTTGTACATGTTGAGATTTTGACTGGCAAAACAGGCCTCAACAGCATTGCCAGTCATAGTAATGTGCAGAAGGTGCGGTGTGCATCTCCCGGACCCTGCCATGGTCCCGGAGATGACTGATCGGAATTTCAGTTGCCGCAGATTCGTCAGGAACGGATCGGTTGTCTCAACATCATGTTCTCTGAAATTTTCCCTATCCACTCGAAACTGACTTTGGGGAAGGGGGATAGGCCCCTGGTTTAGACAACAGATTGCTTTGTGTCTTGCGCTTTTTCTTTGTCTCTTTTTCTTCTTTTCTTTTCTGTGTTTGTGGTTTTCCTGAAACAAACGAGTTTCTCCGGTGGAACCCCATAGCAACGAGGACACTTTTGAAGACGTGAAGCTGAGGCGGCGGGAGCCCAAGGACGAGAGGCGGGGCCTCGGAAAAACGATCCCTGATCCGCTCATGGGGCCGCCTTTCAGCGCGCCGTAGAACCAGGAGAACGACCGGCGGGTGTCCTTTTGATCGGTTGGTTTGATTAAAAATAAATGGGTTCCACTGCTTTAGGTGGGGATAATTCCATTTACCAGGGCCAAAAGGCCACCGATGCTGGCTAAGTTGCGCCAACGGACCTTTTGAGAGAACTCGGGGGCAGGGCGCCTTTTGCTTTTCCTCCGCTGCACCAATTGATTGACCCTCATGACACATGCACATGCAGGACAAGGGGGTCCAAAAGCCGAATCGCATATCCATGTAGCCTCAGAAAAGGTGCTATGTTTGCGGTAGTGGCGCGTGCCTGAGGTGGTTACTTGAGGATTTTTTTTTAAGAGCCGGGACTCCACGGTCTGAGGCGATTGGCTTCGTTTTGCAAAGTAGATGCAGAAATGGCCGGCCGGTGCAGCTTGGTGACCCAAACGCGTGCATGTGAGCCGCGTGCCAGGTATTTGCCAAACTACCAGGAGACTTTGGTACACTACCACAAGTCCTTCGGCGTGCTCCAGGACTGGCGGCTGTTTTGAGGTTTTTGCAGAGCTAGTCAGGCATATGGATGCGCTTTGTTTTTGTGGATACGATACCCCTTCGTTGGTGGTTTTAAATGAGCACCAAAAGGAGAGCCACCAATTTGGGGTGCCCCCTAAAGCAGACACGCCCATATGGTTTGGCCTTTTGAGCTGTGCTTTTGCTGACCAGGGTCAACCATTCCCGTTGACAAGATTTCATCTACTGCCATACAACAGTTGGACATGCATCCAGTCATGTGAGTGGCTTCCTCTTGGTTGGCTTTCAGTTCTGGATGCCGTTTCTGCTTTTGCTTGAGTGTCATAGTGTCATACTGTGGATGAACGAAATCCTGCATCGCGTAAGAAACCCTTGAATGATAATTCCCCTGTACATACCACCAACAACAATGGTTCCCTATGGTTTCAAAGTGGTGCGAACGGATCTCGTCCATCGCAGTGCTTTCTGATCCCGCACAAGTTGGTTTTTGGGTTTATGGCCCAGCGAGATGCTTGATCGGCCTGCCGGGAGAACGTCTTGGCTGCGATCGCAGCCATGCGAGCCTTCCGCACGAGTGACAGAGGCGGAGACCCTGTTCAGATGGATATGTATATAAGATAACGTATATATGGCTGTGGGTCAAAACGAATGGGATCCCATTTTGGGCTAGCTGAAATTCACCACCCAATTTAGAAAAAACAAACCCTATTTTAGTGGGGATTGAATCGGATGTTCACTGAGGGCTAACCGATTTGAGCTTTTGACCCATGGCCACATGGGTGTGGTTCCATATGAGATAGGAGTATATATATATACATATATATATATATATATACATAAATATACTAATGTATATAAGATAATATATATATATATACATACATATGTACATGTTCCCATTTCGAGGGTTCCCAGTGCAGGCTTGGGAACCAAAGTCAGCATCAAGGGCTGTGCAAGGCATGTGCATAGCAAGTGTGAGGTTGTTTCTATCAAACCACCCATGATATGGCTGTGGCTCAAAAACCCGGTACCAAGATGGAACCCTGCAAAGTGGAAACATGGACCAAAACCTGCGTAACCCCTCCTGTTTAATTTTGAGCCACACCCATATCCCTGATGTAGTGTAGTGCTCACTGCGCGTTGTGACTTAGATGTGACCTGCGAAGATGTCAAACAAAAAACAAAAACAGTCCAATGTCTGGTTCGCCAAACTGGCGAAACTGGCGACCGGCCACGATTTCGGTTTCTGAGTTTTTTGGTTCTGTCCATTTTTACCTGTTTTGTTTTTGGATCTGTTTTTTGGTTCGGTTCTGTTCATGTTTACCGGGGGTCTGCAAAAAACAAAAAGTTTCTCGCCAGCCCATACCAAGAGTAGAGATGTTTCTTGGTGTTCGTCTTGCCAAGCCTACTGAAACCAAAGAACCTACCGGGTGAACCCCCCCAATCAACCTACCCTCCCACCGATTAATTAGGGAACTTGACGTTTCGCGGGGACCTGGAAGACATGTTTTTTCCTTTGAAAAGAACCCCCTGTTCAGGTTACCAAAGAACTTTTTTCAAGAGCTGGAGAAACCCCTTCGACCGAAGTTCGCGGGGTGTGAAGTTCTCGAGTTTTCGCTCGAGGGCCGCGTTGCACATCTTCTCGCTGGTGCTCAGTAGGGATTTAGGGAATGAACTCCAGGGGTTAAAGGAAACCATAGGAACCGGATGGTTTATGTCGAGGTCATTGCCTCATTCCCTGCCTATCTCTCGCACCAGCAAGAAGATGCTGGACATCGCAATTCCCTGAGTTCATGAACTTTAATATTTTTTGGGAAGACCATTTCAGGCGGTAAATAATGAAGTTTGGGGGCTTTTTTTGGGCCATCCACTCCTTGCTGTGAGAGAAAGACCCAGTAAGCGAGGAGCTCTTCGACCACCGGGACTTCCAAACTTTTGCCGAGGAGATCCAGGGCCCTTGCCTCGGACTGGACCGAGTCGCCGGGCGTTGCTTAATCGGACTCGCGAGATGGAGACGTCCTCTTGGGTTTGGAGCTGATGTGTGTCTTGAAGGGAAGCTCAAGTGGCGATCTTTTTTTTAAGTGGACCCGCAAGTTGATCAACTTTTGGAGGGAAATGCAGTGACCTGGGTGGTATTTCAAGGGGAAAGAGAAAGAACAAATTCAGTTGTCGTATCACACGGGACCAATTCCTATTTTGAGCCTCAAACACCCCATATTTCAAAGGGAAAGCAAAAGGACTATTTGTTGGGCCCCTGAAAAGACAAAGGAGACCCAACATTTTAGGGGAACAAAAGGACACCGCTTGTTTTGAGGGCCCCTGTTTTGGTACTTTGGACTTCTGCCAGACATCTTCCAACATTTGCGAACAAGGAATGGCAGATGAAGGTGACCTGTTGTGAGGGCTTGTTAGTACGGTCGCTAGTCGCACTTGGCGAGGACGAGAGCCGGAAGTGCCGTCTGAGAGCCCACGGCTTCTTGTGATTATTGAGCTTCGGCTACTTTGGGACTTCTGTCAGAGCCAAGTCTTTGTGCATTTGCGAACAAAGTAGCGCAGACGAAGGTGAGTTGTTGTGAGGGCTTGTTAGTACGGTCGCGGACTTCTGTCAGAGCCAAGTCTTTGTGCATTTGCGAACAAGGAATGGCAGATGAAGGTGAGTTGTTGTGAGGGCTTGTTAGTGCGGTCGCTAGTGGCACTTGGCGAGGACGAGAGCCGGAAGTGCCGTCTGAGAGCCCACGGCTTCTTGTGATTATTGAGCTTGTGATTATTGAGCTTCGGCTACTTTGGGACTTCTGTCAGAGCCAAGTCTTTGTGCATTTGCGAACAAAGTAGCGCAGATGAAGGTGAGTTGTTGTGCGGGCTTGTTAGTGCGGTCGCTAGTGTTACTTGGCGAGGACGAGAGCCGGAAGTGCCGTCTGAGAGCCCACGGCTTCTTGTGATTATTGAGCTTCGGCTACTTTGGGACTTCTGTCAGAGCCAAGTCTTTGTGCGAACAAAATGGCAGATGAAGGTGAGTTGTTGTGCGGGCTTGTTAGTGCGGTGGCTAGTGGCACTTGGCGAGGACGAGAGCCGGAAGTGCCGTCTGAGAGCCCACGGCTTCTTGTGATTATTGAGCTTCGGCTACTTTGGGACTTCTGTCAGAGCCAAGTCTTTGTGCATTTGCGAACAAAGTAGCGCAGATGAAGGTGAGTTGTTGTGCGGGCTTGTTAGTGCGGTGGCTAGTGGCACTTGGCGAGGACGAGAGCCGGAAGTGCCGTCTGAGAGCCCACGGCTTCTTGTGATTATTGAGCTTCGACTACTTTGGGACTTCTGTCAGAGCCAAGTCTTTGTGCATTTGCGAACAAAGTAGCGCAGATGAAGGTGAGTTGTTGTGAGGGCTTGTTAGTGTGGTGGCTAGTTGCACTTGGCGAGGACGAGAGCCGGAAGTGCCGTCTGAAGAGCCCACGGCTTCTTGTGATTATTGAGCTTCGGCTACCTTGGGACTTCTGTCAGAGCCAAGCCTTTGTGCATTTGCGAACAAAGTAGCGCAGATGAAGGTGAGTTGTTGTGCGGGCTTGTTGAGTGCGGTGGCTAGTGGCACTTGGCGAGGACGAGAGCCGGAAGTGCCGTCTGAGAGCCCACGGCTTCTTGTGATTATTGAGCTTCGGCTACTTTGGGACTTCTGTCAGAGCCAAGTCTTTGTGCATTTGCGAACAAAGTAGCGCAGATGAAGGTGAGCTGTTGTGAGGGCTTGTTAGTGCGGTCGCTAGTCGCACTTGGCGAGGACGAGAGCCGGAAGTGCCGTCTGAGAGCCCACGGCTTCTTGTGATTATTGAGCTTCGGCTACTTTGGGACTTCTGTCAGAGCCAAGTCTTTGTGCATTTTGTGCAGGTGAGTTGTTGTGCGGGCTTGTTAGTACGGTCGCTAGTCGCACTTGGCGAGGACGAGAGCCGGAAGTGCCGTCTGAGAGCCCACGGCTTCTTGTGATTATTGAGCTTCGGCTACTTTGGGACTTCTGTCAGAGCCAAGCATTTTGGCAGATGAAGGTGAGTTGTTGGGCTTGTTAGTGCGGTCGCTAGTGGCACTTGGCGAGGACGAGAGCCGGAAGTGCCGTCTGAGAGCCCACGGCTTCTTGTGATTATTGAGCTTCGGCTACTTTGGGACTTCTGTCAGAGCCAAGTCTTTGTCCATTTGCGAACAAAGTAGCGCAGATGAAGGTGAGTTGTTGTGCGGGCTTGTTAGTGCGGTCGCTAGTGTTACTTGGCGAGGACGAGAGCCGGAAGTGCCGTCTGAGAGCCCACGGCTTCTTGTGATTATTGAGCTTCGGCTACTTTGGGACTTCTGTCAGAGCCAAGTCTTTGTGCATTTGTGAACAAAGTAGCGCAGACGAAGGTGAGTTGTTGTGCGGGCTTGTTAGTGCGGTCGCTAGTCGCACTTGGCGAGGACGAGAGCCGGAAGTGCCGTCTGAGAGCCCACGGCTTCTTGTGATTATTGAGCTTCGGCTACTTGGGGACTTCTGTCAGAGCCAAGTCTTCGTGCATTTGAGAAGAGAGCATGATGGTGTTTTGGTTGAGAGGCCTGTGACGATCAAAAACGCTTTCCCCGCTGATTCTGAGCCGGCGGCAATGAGACAAGGACAGCGTTGCTGAGGTTGCCAGAGTCACTGCCACAGTACGAGTCGATGGGGCCGATGCTTTTTCGTTGAAAACAGAGAGTATGTTGGTGTCGGAGTTGAGGGGCCTGTGACGATCGAAAACGCTTTCCCCGCTGATTCTGAGCCAGCGGCAGTGAGACAAGGACAGCGTTGCTGAGGTTGCCAGAGTCACTGCCATGGTGCGAGTCGATGGGGCCGATGCCTTTTCGTTTGAACAGAGAGTATGTTGGTGTCGGAGTTGAGGGGCCTGTGACGATCAAGAACGCTTTCCCCGCTGATTCTGAGCCAGCGGCAATGAGACAAGGATAGCGTTGCTGAGGTTGCTAGAGTTGCTGCCATGGTACGAGTCGATGGGGCCGATTCTTTTTCGTTTGAACAGAGAATATGTTGATGTCGGAGTTGGGGCCTGTGACGATCGAAAACGCTTTCCCCGCTGATTCTGAGCCAGCGGCAATGAGACAAGGACAGCGTTGCTGTCGCTGTCACGGTACGAGTCGATGGGGCCGATGCTTTTTCGATTGAACAGAGAGTATGTTGATTTCGGAGTCGAGGGGCCTGTGACGATCGAAAACGCTTTCCCCGCTGATTCTGAGCCAGCGGCAATGAGACAAGGACAGCGTTGCTGAGGTTGCTAGAGTCACTGCCATGGTACGAGTTGATGGGGCCGATGCTTTCTCGTCTGAGAAGAGAGTATGTTGGTGTCGGTGTTGAGTGGCCTGTGACGATCGAACACGCTTTCCCCCCGCTGATTCTGAGCCAACGTCAATGAGGCAAGGACTGCATTGATGAGGTTGCCAGAGTCACTGCCATGGTACGAGTCGATGGGGCCGATGCTTCTTCGTTTCAACGGAGAGTATGTTGGTGTCGGAGGGGCCTGTGACGATCGAAAACGCTTTCCCCGCTGATTCTGAGCCAGCGGCAATGAGACAAGGACAGCGTTGCTGAGGTTGCTAGAGTTGCTACCATGGTACGAGTCGATGGGGCCGATGCCTTTTCGTTTGCACAGAGAGTATGTTGATGTCGGAGTTGAGGGGCCTGTGACGATCGAAAACGCTTTCCCCGCTGATTCTGAGCCAGCGGCAGTGAGACAAGGACAGCGTTGCTGAGGTTGCCAGAGTCGCTGCCATGGTGCGAGTCGATGGGGCCGATGCTTTTCGTTTAAACAGAGAGTATGTTGGTGTCGGAGTTGAGGGGCCTGTGACGATCAAAAACGCTTTCCCCGCTGATTCTGAGCCAGCGGCAGTGAGACAAGGACAGCGTTGCTGAGGTTGCCAGAGTTGCTGCCATGGTACGAGTCGATGGGGCCGATTCTTTTTCGTTTGAACAGAGAATATGTTGATGTCGGAGTTGGGGCCTGTGACGATCGAAAACGCTTTCCCCGCTGATTCTGAGCCAGCGGCAATGAGACAAGGACAGCGTTGCTGAGGTTGCCAGAGTCGCTGCCATGGTATGAGTCGAAGGGGCCGATGCTTTCTTATTCGAAAAGAGAGTATGTTGGTGTCGGTCTTGAGGGGCCTGTGACGATCGAAAACGCTTTCCCCGCTGATTCTGAGCCAGCGGCAATGAGACAAGGACAGCGTTGCTGAGGTTGCTAGAGTCACTGCCATGGTACGAGTTGATGGGGCCGATGCTTTCTCGTCTGAGAAGAGAGTATGTTGGTGTCGGTGTTGAGTGGCCTGTGACGATCGAAAACGCTTTCCCCGCTGATTCTGAGCCAACGGCAATGAGACAAGGACTGCATTGATGAGGTTGCCAGAGTCACTGCCATGGTACGAGTCGATGGGGCCGATGCCTTTTCGTTTGAACAGAGAGTATGTTGGTGTCGGAGGGGCCTGTGACGATCGAAAACGCTTTCCCCGCTGATTCTGAGCCAGCGGCAGTGAGACAAGGACAGCGTTGCTGAGGTTGCCAGAGTCGCTGCCATGGTACGAGTCGATGGGGCCGATGCTTTTCGTTTGGACAGAGAGTATGTTGGTGTCGGAGGGGCCTGTGACGATCAAAAACGCTTTCCCCGCTGATTCTGAGCCAGCGGCAGTGAGACAAGGACAGCGTTGCTGAGGTTGCCAGAGTTGCTGCCACGGTACGAGTCGATGGGGCCGATGCTTTTTCGTTTGAACGGAGAGTATGTTGGTATCGGTGTTGAGGGCCTGTGACGATCGAAAACGCTTTCTCCGCTGATTCTGAGCCAACGGCAATGAGACAAGGACAGCGTTGCTGAGGTTCCAATTTTCCTGCTACAAGTTCATGAAGCAAATGTGCTTTTGTTTGAAAGAGAGTGCAACGGTGTCAATGTTGAGGGGCCTGTGATGATTAAAAACGC